AGCAGGGGAATAATGAAAGTAAAATGGGAAGGGGATGTAGGTTCCCCACCCCCACCTTATAGGAAACGGTATCAATCAATGACCTTATGACCACCAGTCATATGATGATAATCTTCTGTTTGACTTTTTTTTGTTGTCTCAGGTGACCTTCAGCTATGTATGCTGATGAAAGGGCAGTAAGTCCAATCCTTGCTACCCTCAGTTTAGGCAAACTATTCTATAAATGTCAGATATGTATTTTAGTAGCTAAATGGCTTGTGAGAAATACTGCTCAGAAAACACACCATCAATATTTGTTTTAGATAATAAATATTTTCATACTTTTTCACAAATAGGAATTTTTACACAAATGGCACACACATCGTATTAGCTGAGTTGGCCAGACATCTTGAATCCAGAGATAACTATGAGAAACTCGATACCTTATCTAAGGCGATAAATAAAATGTCACCCATTTCGGTGTGAGATTGATTCCAAAATAATATCACAGTCTCATGCTCTATTTACTCAAAAGTAAAGACCTCTTGGTCCAATGGACCATCAGTTCATGTTCTAGTAAACCCAATTCCTGTTTCATCTGAACCTGCATGTGTTTAGAGGTCACTTCCCGAAACGTCATGCAGGACCCAAACTAAAATGGGACAGACACTTTTAAAAGTTAAGGTGATGGTGTAGTATTTTTTAAAATGTTCTTGTGCTGTTGTTTTTGTTGTTATGGGTCATCAAGTCTGACTGAGCAACTTCAAAATGGCCTGCTCAGCTCTTGCAGACTCAAGCCTGTGACCTCCTTTAGGGAGTCAAACCATTTTGTAATTCGTCTTCCTCTTTCCTTTCTGCCTTTCACCTTTCCCAGCGTTTCTATCTCTTCCAGAGAATCCGGTGTTCACATGATGTACCCAAAGGAGGACAGACTCCATTTCAACAATATGACCTCCAGAGACATCCCAGGTTTGATTTTCTCTGGGACCCCTTTTGTTTGTCTGTCTGGCAGTCCAGGGTACCACATGTCAAACAATTCTTTTTCTTTTCTTTTTTCTTGTCAGTTTTCTTACTGTCCAGCTTTCACACCCTTACATGGTGATTGGAAATAAGACATTGCAGATAATATTGGCTTTCATCTCCAGTGACACTTTATATAAATATACAATGTAACATACCACCTAATCCTAATATTGGGTGTGCTTTTGGACCCATCGCTATCAATGACATCTCAGATAGCATCTGTGCTCTGATCCCCAGATTTCCACCTAAAGCAGATCACCCACTATGTCCCTACCTTGACACCAGGTCCCTCTCCGATCCCCAGATTTCTACCTAAAGCAGATCACCCAGCTATGTCCCTACCTTGACACCAGGTCCCTCACCATGCGCTGGTAGTCTCGAGATTAGACTACTGTAATGCCCTCTACGTGGGGCTGCCCTTGGGACTGCTACAGAGACCGCAATGGGTCCAGAATGCGGCAGCCAGATTTCTGAGTGGGGATCTGGACGACATCATCGGAGGGAAAGGATCCGAGGCTGGAGGTCAACGTTCCCTCCCCACAGATCCCAGCTTTGTTAGCATGCCTGCAATCGAAGTCTGCAGCCGGGGCGGCTGGATTTTCTGTACCTGGTTGTGGCTAAGATTTCTAACTTTTTGGCTTGCTAGTGTACAGGACTGTGGGGGAGAATTCTGGGTGGATGTGAGCGAATGTGAATTGTTTGTCCCGCTCCCTGGCTGGCTGGTTGCCATGTTGGATCTCCAGGGGACGGGACCTTCCCTAGAACTGGCTCACTCACTCCCCCTCCTTTGGAACACCTGCAGAGATGCTCTGCCCCCGCACACGGTATGGGTAGGGCCAGTGACTGAAACAACTTGGCTCACCCTCGTGCTCAGGACTAAGAACTCTGAGTTAAACTCCACGAGTAACATTCTCACTCCACCTCTAACATCAGTTCTTACAACATCTAAAGCAACATCGAAACTGACATTATTGAATGGACAAGGTTGTGTGGAGGAGAAAGGAGGACCAGGATTATATGTGGGGCTTTAGCATGTGATTTGTCTAAAAATTTATTTTAATTTTATACACATGGTGTTTATAATTTGGGCTCTTATTGTTTTTGTACTTCTTTTATTTTATAGTATATATTTGTTCTTATTAATTTAGGGATTTAATTATTTTTTTCTTTCTCTTTTTCTCTCTTTCTTTTTCTTTCCTGGATATGGAGTGGAAGGCCTGTTCACCCAGCCAGGGGCCTTTTAACATTCCTGTGAGTGCAGATAGAGGAAGATATGGTGTTGGTACAGTGCCTACTCGTGTTAGAAGAACAATGAACAGATGCTTAAAGGCTGTTCATTGTTCTGAGACTGTGACCAACCCTCAGTACCAAGGTAGCCAGCCCAGCCACCCTTCCACTCTATCCCTGCTGCTGTTGAATGCCAGGTCTGTGTCCAATAAATCCCAGGTAATTTGCAACCTTATCCTGGAGGAGGATGCAGACCTGGCATGCATAACCGAGACGTGGATTGGCGGGGAGGGGGGTCCTCCCCTGGCT